GAGAATTACTATATAAAAAACAAAGTGTGTATAAGAGATATTTAAACCCGTTTACAATTCTTAGTCAGAAGAAGTCGATATCACATTACAACAACAAATGCTCTCTAGGGCTTCAATCTGAAGAGTGAATTCTTATGTTTTGATACCAAGCATGGACCGCTAGCTCAAGGATGCATGTATAATTGATGGAAATGAAATGAATTAAGCATAGGATCAGGCGGCTAACTTAAATATGAATCACATGCAAGTTTTAAAGTTTATTATTACAGCTTCTCACAGTGTGTAATTAAGTGATAACCCGATCCAAGCAGCTCTATGTCTCACTTATTTCTCAGCTATGTTCATATTATAATTATGTATAACCATAGCTTCTTCACCACCACGTACGGGTTTCGTTGATGGTTACAGGATAAAAATTACAGATAAAGATATTAATTTTAAAATTTTTATTTAAAGATTTTAATTTATATTTTTTTATTTAAAGATTTTAATTAAATAGTAATATTAACATAAGAAATGTAAAATTAATATTTTTAACATAAAAAATAAAATTAATATTTTAAATAAAAAAATTTAAAATTTAAAAAACTTATACTTTAATATAAAAAAATTATAAAATTAATATCTTTATCTATATACTTTATCTATATACTTCTTCATGATCACGGGATAAAAATAATTCTTTTGATAACCATAGCTTTAAAAGGCTAAGGAAAGTATGTCTTGCTCTTCTCTCTAGCTTCATATATTCTTTAAATATTTGGGCATTTAAACATATTTTCTATTCAACTAATCTCATAAATATTTAAATATTACCATATTTTTAAGTGATAGAGAAGACTCCACCTCTAAAAATAATTAATGTGATTTATTGAAATTATTTATATTCAAATAATATTAAAAACGCACATTTAATTACAAATTATTATCATGATGCTCTTTAATAACTTGAACCAACCCAAATCGGCTCTCCAGCTCAACAACTATGCACAGAATAAACATGTAATGTCTTTTTTAAGCCAGCATTTTTTTAATTAAATATATATTTGAGAATTAACTCATCGGAGCTAATGATTCTTTTCTAAAATTAAGTATTTGAGTTTTATTAATTAAAAAATCCTGTTTCCAATAATAACTTAAAAAATTCTTTCATTTTCCCCATTTCTATAAATAAATAAATATAGATTTGGTCAAAGAAGGTATAATTACGTGCACAAAAATGAAATTTGCGATGACAGGACTGATGAGAATGAGAATAGGAGTACTGTCAGATGGAAACGAACGCATGCATGGATTTATAGGGTTTGAGGATGTGAATGTAAGCTAGGAAGTTAGGATCAGGTTTTTGCTTGCCAGAAAAAGTAAGGTTGATGAGCAGGCTTTTTCTTGAGGGGTTTTCAGCTGTTGAGATAAAAAACAGAGGGCTGGAGAGGGATTAGCTTAATTAGGGGACACTTTGCTCAGAAGAGAGGGTCTGAGAGACAAACTCTGAGTTATTAGCCGCACATGCGGATATATCGTGATAGCTTAAAAAATCCTTTTTTTTTTTAGGGCAGATATCTGAAGAAAGCTTTAGTACAGTTTGTGGATGTGGATAATTAGGGTGTTTTTAGTCCGGTTCATGGGCCAAAGTAGTTAATAAGGAGCCCAACTTTCTTGATTTTATTCATTTAAGGAGTTGAGTTTTTATTTTTTTATTTTTTGATAAGAATAATGATTAGAAAGTTAGTGTGAGTTAATTATTAATAATTGGTTTTTAGACCGAATGAATATTCTACTCTCTCAAATGAGGCGTGCGACCATTAGATCACTTTTTGGTGGAGTTCACGACGGTGGTAGAACTTGAAACTCTAACCACTTCATCTAAACACTTAAGGCTTGAGATTGAACTATTGGGTCACAAGATGGGTTCGAGCTTTTAATTTTTCTTAATTAAGTAGTTAAATTTTACATTTTTATTATCCAAAAAGTAATTGAATGATGCCAATGGAAACAAAAAAGAAGAAGAAGAGTA